CCAGCCTTTATTTTTCCAACAAGTGCATGTCTGTTCTTGCGTTCACACGGAGACATTCAGCTTCTTGGAATTCTTGACTTCTGTAGTGCTGGAGGTGAAATGGGAGACTTAACATCGATGTCAGTGCAACTGAATCCTCTGCTAGAAGAAGTTACCAAAGTGACAAATCATTCCATGGCAGTCCTTGTACCTGATACCCAGCAGTGGTCCTGATACCTGCCAAAATGACCGCTTCAATACTGGAAAATGAGAAAAAAAAAGTCACATTTGATACAATCGCTTCACTATTAATAACACAGATCTGTTTCATTGGGCATATGCTGCTGTCATGTGACCAGAGCATGAGTGGAGGTGGCCCACTGCTGCACAGTAACACTGCCTCCTTCACGTCAGCTGTGTTGCCTTACTTTTGGTTAAACAAAGGGAAGAAACATACTTTTATAGATCATGTCACTCTTCCTTCCTGTGTGTGTGTGTGTGTGTCACTTTTATACATCCGTAAAAAGCTACCTTACACATTTTGCTTACATACTATACTGTTTAGCTTTCTGTGCTAACTAAGATGGTATTTTAAGCACCAGGCGTTTCAGGTCAAGAGTCAAGATTTCGATTTGTCACATAGAATTTTGGAGATTTAACTATACATCTAATTAATTCAATAGATTGATCAATGTAATGAGTCCGTTAATTTCGACAGCCCTAAAAAGAACCAATTCCAAGCCTTTTATTCCAGCTTTGCTCTAGACTTTATTTGAACTTCAAACATTTTGTAATTACAAAAACAATTGAAATGTTGCTTTACTGAGAGACAAAGGCCAAGGGTTGAAAACTTCCAATCGACAGAGAACCAGGTCTGTGTTGTTGGAGACGATCTGCTAGCAAGCTGTTTTACTCAGAATGCTCTTGAGTGAATGTACTTCAGCTCAAGGTCACACCCAAACATTCTGTTTTATTTTTAGTCACTACATGGGCCCGTTCTATTTCTCATGAAAGGGTGTCTTTCGTAATAGACAGTTCATTTCAGTGCTGGTGAATCAGAACTCTTCGTTGTTGGATTTCTCTCCAGAGTGAAAGAATCTATTTTAGGCACCGTGGGGGTGCCCGGGTCCGGCTCGATATTTTAGGGCAATGGCAGACCATGCTTGGTTACTGGTTGTGTTTTCAACTGTGGTCGGCTTTGGGTCAGGAACCTCTTCTGGTGTTTGGATCTTTTCACCAAGTCCAAGTCTTCCTACTTGTTTTACTTATTTTATTTTATTTTTTTTTTACGTATTTACTTATTTCCTCAAATCTGACCTCGGCACAGATGTACTCCAGAGTCCAGAGGCATGATGGGAGGATACCATGACATGAGTTTAAGGTCAAAACAGTTTGCAGAGTACGCACACACGGCCAAAAAACTGAGGTGGAGCTAATTCCTCACATGTGTGGAGCAGAAATAGCAAAGAGGGATTTGACCAATGTCATGCTGGTGGGCCACGAGGCTGTAGTCGGACAGGACGGTTCTGAGGACCAGTACACACCTCACCAGGGATTTATTCTGAACCTCATTTTGAATCAGACGGGCACAAAGTCTCTGAGTGATGTGATGTTGATTGTTTAGGTCACTGTGAGTCACTGTCCTGGTAATAAAATCAGTTTGATTTAGATTCCCCCCAACCCGAAAAAAAAAAAAAGCATTTTATTTTCACTGAGTTATTACATGGTAGCTGTGAAATATTTAGAATGAATCATGATCAACAGCGATTAATCTATATCAAGTTCAACTGTTTTCTGTATGTTGCTGGAAAAGAAAGACAAGTAACAGCAGGAGGATGTTTGAGTCCAATTGATGCAATTATTTATATGGGAAAAATATATTTTTAAGTATTATAATATGTTAGTGGCGTTTGGCTCAGAGGCAGTGTCTGTGTCATTGGTGTGGAACCCCAGGGTTCACCTCCTGGGCAAGTTCGAATCCTGGTTAGGACGGTTGGTACCTTCCAGTGGACTCACCACCCACAGGAAGGTTCAGGTTCACGGGGGGTTGGTACGGTGCAGTGTAATTTGGGTGGCGGTTGTGGAGACTGCTGCCCCCGTGACCCGGTAACGGATAAGTAGATGAAAATGGATGGATAATATGTTATATGAATTCAGTTGGGTCCAAAATTTTAATTTGACTAATTTACCAAATTATTGTTGTGTTAAACTTGACGGCCCTTGTTTCAATATATACAGTATGTGGACAGACTGGTAATTTAATTTAATTGATTTTTTTTTTCCCAAATCACATCAAAAGTTAACAAAGAAGAGCTTCTTTGGTGTTCTTGGCCACTCCACCCACCCTGTAGGTTGGGCCTCAAGGCAACCACCTAAGTGGCTGATAGCAAAGTCGGTCCCTGACTGTGCATGTAAATGTCCCGACTGCTGACTGTGCTCATCTTCGGCTGCTGGGAGTTTGTAACTTGGTACCCCCTAAGCCCCCTTGCCCTCCCCAGGGAGGAGGTTTTTACTGCAGTAAATGCCGCCGCTAATCACTGTGGTGCCACCCCGCTGTGCTGAGAACTTTTTCAACAGAGTGTGACAGTTATGACTCCTGGATGCCAGGAGCGCTGTTTGCATTGGAGGAGACACAGTGCTATGGTCTCCTGCCAGCGGCTGCTCAGCCTCCAGCAGCAGCAGCATGGAGATCTTTTACACTGACTCTCCCTTTTGTTTCTGGCTCCTGCCCCTCGTGCGTCATGGCTGGGGTCTCTTCTCTCCACCTCGTCCAGCGTAGCTCAGCTGTGGATGATCTTGGCTGCAGATCAGTCAGAACTATGTAGGAGGAACAGCTCACCGGGGAATCTGGATGCTATGATTCCATCCGAGTACTTTACGTGAGGCCGAGTCGATCCTGTCTGTGTTCACTGCTGCTTGATGCTAAATGGATTACAGTTTGCACAGTGCCCGAGCCACTTAGCTGTGTGACAATGGTAATCATGTGGCTGTTTGTGCTGAGCACACGCCAGATGTATACGTATGATTCAAGAGCCTGCTGGGTGCAAAGTAGATAGGAACAGTATGAATGCATATTTATATAGTGGTTAAATACAATACTTTTCCAAGCCATGCCCCCCCCCCAGCCCCCCACCCAAACAGCATTAGCTTCCAGCTGTGGACCCGCTTTGCAAACCTACAGACAATACTAGAAAATCTGTAAAGAAACATCAACTTTTAGAACTTTCTAGCACTCTATTGATTGTTAACATTCAATTGTTCAGTGTTGTCCTGAAAGTTTTGTAAAGATAGGTCTTCTGGTTTCGTACGTTTTATTTGGCCCCAGGCGAGACGTTTAAAAAAAGCTCTTATGTATTCACTTTGCGACGTACTAAATATTTTAAAGGCAAGCATGTGCATAATTGTCTCTTCAAATAACGATAGTCTTTAATGGTACATGACCATTCATCTCCCTGAGTGGGTGAAAATCTACGTTGTCTTCTATGGTCGTCTCCATATCACCATCAGTTGTTAAGGCGACTCTAACTCTTCTTAACACGGCTGATGAACAGCGTCTGGCCCCTGGATCTCTTACCTTGGCTCCTGCATTGGATTAGAAATGATGGCAGCATCACTCACCTCCTCCTGACGGCTAAATGGACTCCATCTCATTCTTATCAGGCTCCTCAGGGCCGCAGTATTGCTTCAGCCAAGGGTACAGGCCAGCAGGTCAGTGTGCTGACAAAAGACGGATGATGTCACCATTTACCCTTAACCATCAGCCGCTGACAGATTTGTGGGCGTACGTCACTAAGCACTCGCACATTGAGGAAATGGCTCTTGAGCCCGCCGTCCCTTGGGTCGCTTTTACTACAAACACTCGGGGTATGACATCACAATCCATTAATTGGTGGAATAAATGATGAGTCGCTCAGCAGAAAATCACTAGCAGTTAACCAGCCTGAAAGAGGCGTGCTGGATTTTACTGAAAACATGGCCGCCAGCGGGGACACGTGGAAAAATAGATTTCACTTAGCACCGGACCTGCACGATTTCTGCACGATTACTGACAAAACATTTTCCCACTTTGTTAAGTGATAAAAACCTTTTTAGAGTGAAAACTGAAGTCTGTGTGAAATATAAGGCCGAGTTCGCTAGCAGTGCTAACTTTGTTCCTCATGTTGTTTAAACAAGCTGCGGGAAAAGGTTTTAGTATCACTGAAACTTCTTTAAATTAAAATCCCGTCACCAACTCCCCCACGTGTTTGCGGGGGCTTCAACCTCAGGTCAGCGGCCCGAGTTGTGTCAGAGCAGCCTGACTGAGGTCAGGACAGTCAGTAAGTCAACGACTGACAGTCTGACTCAGTCGGGGGCAAACTTTCTGACTCGCGAGCCACAATGGGTCCTCAACTTTGACAGGGGCCGGGTCAGGAGCAGATAGATGGAGTGTTTGTATGAACTAAAACACATGACATGTAAAAGTCCGTGAGTAAAGGCCAAAACGCTAAAATGCTTTTAGCCTTTTCTATGACATCTACTGGGGAAATGTGGGCATTGCAGGGGAAAAGGCAGAAATATAATGAAAATAGAAATTAGTGACATCATTTGGACAAGTTTGGTGGGCCGGATTAAAAAGCCAAATGGGCCGCATCCGGCCCCCGGGCCGTTGTTTGCCCATGCCTGGTCTGACTGAAACAACAGTCAGATGGATTGTTCAGGTCTGTAGACTGAATAATATTGTTGAGGACCACGACTGGACTGAGGTTCAGAAGGAAACTCCACACATGTTCAAGAAGACACCGTCAAGAAGAACAGTAACGACTGAAATACACCAACTTTTTTTTCATTTTCATTATTCATTATTAGTTATTTTTTCAGTTTTTAGTGTGGGGATATTTAGGAATGTTTTTTAAAATCTGTATTATTTATGATAATTGTGATCAATGGTGATTATTCCACAGCTGCCCTGTGATTGGTCAGGTTGAAAAAAAAAGCTTAAATTTGTTTTTAAAGTAATTTACAGTGTCTCTGTTTTTCTCCAGGTGTATCTCATCAATGTCACCTACTCTGACAACACCTCCCACATCATCTACAGAAGATACAGCAAATTCTTTGACTTACAGGTAATCCTCACCCTCGGTGTTTGTAATGAAATCTCTAATCCCACTGTATTCTGAACTGTGAACCCGAATCCCAGATTAATGTGCGCCACTCGTGACTTCTCATTGCTGCCATGTCTCGGGTCGTGTTCTCCACACCTTGTCGCCTCGCTGAATCAATGTGTGCATTAGTAATTGGTTAGGGAGCGAGGGAGCCGTGCTTCGTATCCTGTAGTCTCGCAGAGATGCAATATTGTCATGTCTCTCTCTCTCTCTCTCTCTCTCTCTGTGTGTCCCCTTATTTACACCCCTTCTTTTATTCTCTCGTTCCTTCTCTCTTCTCATCACTGCCTTGCCCTCAAAGTGTCAGAACCTTGAGTTGTTGATGGGCTTTTTTTATAGCTCAAGCAAAAAAAAAAAAATTATATATATATATATATATATATATTACAACACAGGGAAGCCAACTGAATTTGGTTTGATTTATTAAAGGATCAAAGCTCTTCTTCTCTTCTTCTTTTGGCCTTGAGCTTCTAAAGTCATTTGCGCTCTGAGTTCCTCCTTGTTAGAACTTTATTTATTTGGGGAAACCATTTAGCGGGTGGGGTGAGTGAAAACCCCTCTGTGACTGGCCCACAATGGTGAATTTGAAAAAGGGCGTCAGTGAGAGAGAGAGAGACGCATGTGGTGATGGGTTGAGGGAAGGTGAGGAGGGGGACGCAGCTTAATAGAGTCAGTGTGTGAGTCGAGGTAAGAAATGAAAGCTTCCATTGATGAATGCTGAGGCATGTGAAGGTGTGACGCCGTCCACTGATTAATCCTGTTGTGAAATCAGATGAGGAGGGGTCCGGAGGGGGCTGACAATTCCTAAGCCATACGTTAATAAGATGTTGTTTTTGAATTTATATCTGAAAACTCAGTCGAACACACGGAAGGCAGCATGGTCACAGAACTGACCCCTGACAGCGGGGCCCCTGGTCCAGTAGTGTCTGCTAATTACATACATGTAAGTGTAAACAACTGCGTTCAGCTTCCTGTCCACGCCCCCACACACTCCTCTGGGGACATTTTCAGGAGTGTTCCTAAAAGGTGAATAAAGTTTTTTTTTCTATCTGCAGTTCATTTTCTGCTTCTCTGTACATGAAGTAGTCAGAGGCAGAATAATATGCAGTGAAATATGTTTCCTCTGTTCTGCAAAGGTCAGAGGAAGACAGGTGTGTCTTCCTCTTCGTCAGCTCCTCCTCACTGTCAACGCTTCACTGATGTCCAGGCGTGAAATAACTCAGTGATGAGCAGCCCGATTGATTGTGCGGATGTTGTTAGCTAGTGTCGGGGAAAAGGTCACAGCGCTCGGCCTGCTCTTTATTGAGTTGTCAAATAAAGTGTCTCTCATGTGACCACAGTCTCCCTGACTCTGACCAGCCCCCCTCCCCCGACCTCTCCCCCATGACTTATTTTCACTCAGTGGGACTTACGTCTTTAAGGCCTGATTCAACAAATCATCGCGAAAACACTTCACGGCTCGTATCCCACACGTGATGATTCCATTTGCAACGAGGTGCCGTTCTGCGAGCTGCTCTCTCATTCTGATTAATCTTCTGTCCCGGATCGTGAAACTCATCTTTGCCTTTTGTCATTGAGCTCACGCTGTTTATTCGACGCTCCAGTTTGATCCCACTGTTTTCAGAGGAACCTAGAATTCCCCCCTCTGTCTGAACCTTTGCTGCAGAGATCCTGTTGGTGTCAGCAGGAGGACTGAAGTCATGTTTACCGACTCTGTTACTGTGACAGTCGTGGTCCTAACAGAACCAGCTGTCTGCCTGACAACTGTCTGGTCCAGAGAGGGGTCCCAAAAAGGGGTTTCATATCCATTAGCTAACACCGGTTCAGTGGTTCCTATTGTGACGGGCGCAGAGTGATTTGAGCTTATCTTTTTTGTTTGTCTGGAATAACTACACACTCGTTGCAAATGACAGGTGACGTTTGTTTTCTGACGATGACCAACCTGAACTTTTTCCACTCAGGATTAGCGCTCTGTTTTACGTGGGGCAATAAAAGGTGTAATTTTCAGTTTAAAGGGCAATTTCAGATATTTTTGTGGTTGTTTTCCCTGAAACTCCACTCACTGCTAACCCAGGTTAAGAACTTTGTAGAAGCAACATTTGGGTTGAGTGTGGAGCAAATGGCAGCTTTGACTCACAGTGGGAACTTATACTGTAGCTGTGATCAAAGACTGTTAGGAATTTTGAACCTTTTAGGAAGTTTTTAGGATGTTTCGTGGAAACATGGGATCCAGACCACAAGTCCAACACCGCCCCTCCGTCCTTGAGGTGTTCTGTGGCTGCAGTGTAACTCATGTGAATGTGAGGGGCCATTGTTTCAGTCTGCAGGATAAAGGGCTGCTTTATTTTATTTATAGGTGGGAGAAAAAAAGAGAGAGGGGGTTGGAAGGCAGTGGACGGACACCTCTGAGTCCAACACTGGAGTCACAGTCGGGAAAGGTTTTCCCATGGACCTGATGTCTGTTGAGTAGAAACAAAAATGGTGTGGGTTTTTCCAGTAAAGAATTGAAAAAGGCTGTGCAGAAAAGTAAGGGTTAGGGTTATTACTTTAGTTAATTATTGAGCTAATAATGAACTAAAATATCTGTGTACTTATTTGTCAGTTCTAGGATGAATTAAAGATTTAGTCTTAATCACAAATTAAAGATGTTTTGTTCACAAACAAATTCACACTAATATTCACACCTGTAGTCCCTTAGGAGTGAACAGTTTACCTGAGCTGAAAGAACTTATATTTAGTAACAGCATCCTGTGTTGGAGAATTTTCACAGTAATCAGAGTAAATCCTGTGTTGAACAAAGACATCAAATTATAAATTATGACTCAGTGCAGTTTCCCTACTGTGGCCTTGCACCTGGCCCCACTCCCCACTTTGGGAACCACCACCTTAAGCCATCAATTAATATGTTGATAATCTCACTCATTAGTTAAACATAATTTTAATTATGAAATTAAAGACCACATTCAGTTTGTATCTGCTGCCCACAGAGGTCAGAGGTCAGGACCCCTGCTTCTCAGTATTTGACTTTACATGTTGTCCCAGATGAGTCATGTTCTGCTCCATGTTCTTTAACTCTGTCAGCTGATGGACATTCAGAGAGGATGATGGCGCCTCCTCTGGAGGGAGGAGAGTAGAATAAGTGCAGTATGATTTATTAGTGGCTGAATGAAGGCGGTGGAGGACGAGCTAGAAAATGGAAATGAGGAAAAAAAAGGAGACAAAAACCTTGGGCAGCATGTCTCTTGGAGAAACACGGGGGCAGAGCAGAGGCAAATGTTTCTAAGAGAAGAGAAAGCCTTGAAATGTTTTTTTATGAATGCTGTTTCGGGCGGGGCGGGGGGGGGGGCTTGAATGACAGGCACAAAGAAGAAGAAAAGATAAAAGAAATCTGTCCTCAAGGCACAGAGACAGAGACAGGATGGAGATGTTTAATGTTCTGTGGTGATGTCGCAGCAGTGAAGTGTTACATATCAACACCTCATTGACTAAAGTTGACCAGAACCTGATCAGCTCTACGACTAGTTCATTCAGAATCAGCTGTTTATCACAGATCACAATCTGATCAGATTTCCTTTTCTTATGAGTGATCAGATTAAAAAGTGGGTTTTTTGCATGTAAACTGCTGAAAGGAGAGTAGGAAGTAGTGCAGCTCTGTGGTACTGTAGTATCAGTACTTCATCAGTGTCATTACTTGATCAGTACTTCATCAGGGTCAGTATCAGTACCTGTGTCTGTGTCAGTATCAGGGTCAGTATCAGTACCCGTGTCTGTGTCCTGCTCGGCCTCTGCTGCTGTAGGTTAATGAATGACGACTGTAAACATCCCAGGGACCAGGACACACCCACTGGACAGCAGACATTAACGGTTGGTGTCAGAGGGTGGAGGAGGAGGAATTGTGGGATGCAGACAGGTGGAGATCAGAGATGAGAATTCTCACTAGGATTCTGGGAGAAAGCCAGGTGTATTCTCCCGCTGGAGCTAATCTCACTCAGTCTGGAGCCTTAGGTTGTTTGTCTCCACATCACACACACACACATACACACATCACACACACACACACACACACACACACACAGTCACAGAGCATGTATCACTCCACCAGCTCCCTCTCCTTTCATTCATTCTGTCTCTGGTCTCCTCTTCTTTCCCGGCTCTTCTTGGTTCTGTAGAGTGTGCAGTGTTGTGTTAATTGTTAGCACTACACTGGCCTTGGGTGTGAGCAGATGACAGTCTTACATACAATGATGTAAACTCAGCTGACGACTCTCTGACCCCAAGCAGTTTCAAAACAGTAAAACCTTTTTTTAGAGTCAATCTGAACAGTCGGTGTAATTCTGGAGCTCTGTGACTAAAGGTTGACCTGTTTTTCCTTCTCTGTTTAGTAAAAGTCCTGACTCCACGTTCTTGTGGCTTTTTCTGGAGCTGTTCGCCTCAGGCTTTGATTAAAAAAGAAGAAGAAACACAACAAAAAAAAATAAACCAACAAAAAAACCCCTCTCTGCTCTTTGAAAGCAGCCTCACCCTGAGTGTGAGCAGAAGTTTAAGTAGAGCAGCCAACTTTAGAGTTCACTGCAGGCAGACAGGAAGTCTTCTCACCTGAGCCACAGTTCAGAGATTGATCCTGACGCTCAGGACAAACTCCGAGCAGTGTGTCGTAACCGCAGCCTGGCTCAAAGTGGGTTACTGGGAGGGCGACGCCTTGTGTGTGTGTCCTGTGGACCATTTGGGTAAGACAAGAGTTTGATGGTCACTAAGTTGCTAAGTTTAAGGTAAAGTTGTGACTTTTGTGACTTTTACTGCCATAGCTAAATCAATAGATACTTTTGACTACTGCCCCCTGCTGTATGTCAGTGAGCTGGTCCTGTTCCCACTGTGAACTCCATCTGCCCATCAGCAAAGCACAGACAGAGGTGTCGACCAGTGAATTTTCAGAAGCTCTGGAACGTAAATTTCATCGACAT